ATGGGCACCCCTACCTGAAATAAGTAAATGCAGACACTAAGAGAAGAGTTTGTACTTTCTAGCAAAGCCAGTGTTCAAAGTCTGAAGTTGGTGGGGGCCAGGCAAAGGAGTAGCTAAGACATTGTGTGGACGGTTAATATCCCACTTCCTGATGGTATCAGGCTCTTCTGTGTGAGGCCTGTCTTGAGTTGAGTGAGCAGACAGCTGTTCTCGGGTTCTCCCATCTCCTTACTGTAGAGATAATGAATAATGAATAGTTTATCAAGGATGAGCTGCAAGACTCCTGGAGGTGCTGTGGAGCATTATTATAACTAGACAAAGATGTGTTACATCTGTTTACGCTACAGAGTATTACTTAACTGTGTAAAGGTGTTTGTTTATGCTTTTGTTTATGTTGTGGGAACTCCTTCGGCAACAGCCTTTAAGAGACCGGCCCACTTTGGGCATGGTCTCATGTACTATAAGTGCAGATGAAAAGAGTATGTGGCCCTTTTTCTGCTGGATTTGGTTCCAGTTCCCAGTGCATGCTGAAGATTACGGATCCCTACCTTTACTGTGAGTTTACTCCAAAATAAACAAAACTTTGTTATACCCCAGACAATTGTGGAACTCCTTGGTAAACTACATGTTTGTGCTGCGTCTGTTTCACCTCGCCTGCCTGCGGCACCTGATTGGTCTATAAAGAGCTGAACAGCCAATAGCTAGGCAGAGAAAGGGTAGGCATGGCTGGTGGGCAGAAAGAATAAATAAATAGGAGAAATCTAGACTCAGAACAAAAAGAAGGTGGGCAGTGTGAGTACTCACCTTTAATCATGCAGATCTCTGTGAGTTCAAGGCCAGCAGAGAGAGAGTCCCAGGACAAGAAGCCAGGCAGATGCCAGCCAGCCAGACAAACAATGAAAGTGAAGTATACAGAAAGAAAGTAAAAAGCCCAAGGCAAACGGTAAAGAGGTTGATTTAAGTTAAAGGAGGTGCGCAGAAACAAATCCAGAAAGAAGCCTAAGCTGTGCTGGCATTCAAAACTAAAAAGTCTCTGTGTCATGATTTGGGAGCTGGTTGGTGACCCAAAAGAAAATTCCTCGCACATGGCAGACTGTCATATATCATATATGGCTAGGCTCCAAGAGGCCAAGAAGGGAAGAAAAATCAAAAAACTGAAAAGCAAGGTCCCCAGTGACCTTTATGGATCATAAACACGGTGCACACCTCCCCTGACTTCAGGTAAGGGTGTGCTTAATGAAGCAGGCCCCCCGGGCTGAAAGAAGACAAATTTTTGTTATTTTAGTTTTCCTTTTTTAAAGAGATTTATTTATTATGCATACAACGTTCTGCCCGTATGTGTCCCTGCAGGCCAGAAGTTGGCACCAGATCTCATTATAGATGGCTGTGAGCCACCATGTTCATGGGAATTGAACTCAGGACCTCTGGAAGAACAATCAGTGCTCTTAACCACTGAGCAATCTATCCAGTCCTTATTTTTGTTTTTAAAGAGAGGGTTTCTCTGTGTAGCCTTGGCTGTCCTGGAATTTTCTCTGTAGACCAGGCTGGCCTTGAACTCACTGAGATCCTCCTGACTCTGCCTCCTGAGTTCTGGGATTAAAGATGAGCACTGTGCTGTGCCTGTGGCTGCCACCTACCCCATGGCTTTGTTTTAATGCTGCAGCTGCTGCTCACATGCTAATCTCTAGAGTTTACTGCTTCAATCTTTCCTACTGTGCTTCCCTCCTATGGTCTTTTTCTCTGTGTTCTAAGGACTTCCATAGTAACTCATTCAAATCCCAGTCATGAGAATGGTGTTTTTTTTTTTTTTTTTTTTTTTTTTTTCCCATGTATAATGAGTAAACAGGCCAAGGAGAACTACAGACAGAGTCAGAGGTCTTTGTCCTAACCACCTGGTCCCAAATAAATACACAAAAGGTTATACTAATTACAAAATGTTTGGCTAATGGTTCAGGCTTATTACTAACTAGCTCTTACATTTAAATTAACCTATTTCTATTAACCTATGTATTGCCATGTGGCTTGTGGTTTTACCAGTCCTCTAGCATCTTGTTCCTTGGGTGGTTCACTGGTGTGTGCTCCGATTTTGCCCTTCTTCATCTGAGTCCTCAGTTTGGCTGTCCTGCCTAACTTTATCCAGCTTTGCTATAGGCCAAACAGCTTTATTGTGAACCAATACATATTCACAGTGTTCAGGATTATCCCACAGCAGAGAACAGCCCAGCGGTGCCTGGTCTTGAATTGCTCCATTTTCAGCACAACTGGCACAACACAATGTTGGTTTTGTTTCTAGAAGCCAATAATTTCCATCTGCCAGCACAGCAGGCACAAAGTGATCGTTAATATATGACAATTAGAAACAAATCACATCACACCTTTAATCTTAGCACTTGGGAGACAGAGGCAGGCAGATCTGTCCTGGGAGATGTGCAGTGTTCTGCAGCTGGTTGGATTCCCGAGTGTTACACCTGGCTTTGATCTGCCTTTTGTGACTGTGACCTTTTCTGTCTGCTATCTACTTTCTGAAGTATGTAAATTTTATCTGAGAGTTTCCGAGGGGTTCAAAGACTATTCAAAACCTGGTTACAAGAGGGCTCAGCAAACTGAAACTTGCTGTGACTTTGGAATTTCTCGCTGGCATTGTCTCTTTGCGGAGCTTGGATGAGAAGTTTTGATAAATGGAAACTGACTTCCTAATGGTGTGAACTTATAAAAACCTGTGTCACTGCAGGACCGGTTACGTGAGCCAGGAACTAAGTGGAGACTTAAAAACACACAGACAAAGACAGAGAGACACGGGGACACAGGTCATCCTTGATGCAAGAATGCCAAATGCCAAACTTTATTGTGCTCAGGGGCAGCTTCTATAGGGATCCTTAGTCATGCCCAGCTCTCGGGATCTTTCAGCTGCAGGCCCACCAGTCCGCCATCAAGGTCTCATGCTCAGAGCAGCTGCAGGTAAAGAAAGTCAAGGGGCCAGGGTTCTGCAGCTCCCAACAGCTCCCCCTTTTCTCTATAATTAGACCAGGCCTGTCTTGGGTTGCAGAAGCACATATTCACATTTTGCCTGTCATAAAGAATGCTTCCCTCAGCACCCAAGGCTTAGGTTGTCTGCAACAGGCTCCTGTCTTACCCGTCTCTGGCTCACTGTTCTATCGGTAGCCTGCTAACACATTGCTCTTGGAGGAAGCCCACTTTCTCAGGCAAATAGCGATTTACCTCACTGCTGCTGCAGCTGATGCCTGTCGTAGAGGCAGAGCAACAGAAACGCCCAGCTACAGAAATTCCTAGATGTTTAGCGCGCTCTTTCTGCCAGGCAAGATCGGCTTCACTCCGAGAGTTCCCCTTTTAAATTGCATGGCCCGTAGGGTTCCCAGGGCTACCCATGTGCTTTTTGAGCTTTCGCTGCAGTTGCGGTCCATGCCAGAAGCCTGACCCATGTGGCGGAAGACAGGCTTTCTTTGAGGTGATGATTGTGTGGCCAGGGACGCCTGCCATTCAATTTTCGCTGCCTTTTGGCTCAAGGTTTGTCTCAGTTCTGCTGCACTAACCCCACCCATTTTCAAGCATATTTTACAGATCACTCCTGCTGCCTGGGCCAAGACCAACTCACAAAGCACTCTCCAGACAACACCAACACCTGCACCAGCTCCTGGGACTTCTACATCGGTACCAACTCTTCTGGATCAAGGACACCTGCCAACTAAAATCTGGTTTTATCTGCTATTGTGTCCCATTTCATAGGGTCAATAATAACAATATTTTTTCTCCTAGCCACCTGCCTTCTCATCTCCCTCAAAAAGCAGCTGCCCGAGGACTCCAGGATGACAGCAAACTGGATACTGCTCCATCCACTCTTCTCACTGAGTGTGAGTGCACCAACTCTCCGTTCTCCCCTCTCCCACATCGCCCCAAGCCTGCAGGAAATAGCCAGACTTGAGCCAATGCCCCTTTATCCAAAGAGATCCTAAAATGTTGGTCATAAATAGACCTCAGCTCCTTGTCACATTCCTATGTCCACAGAGTCTGGAATGTAATATTAAGTTGAGGACGTAACCCCAGCCCCTGGCAGTCATCCTTGGGGAGCCAATGGAGCGCAGATGGAGCAGAAATCTCAGTCTCAGGCCCTCTCTCCCTGGGAGTTGCCTTAGGTCAGACTCCAGCTCTGGGAAAGCCCACCTGCTGACCCCTCCCCAGGGAGGGTCAGGACCACTCCCACAGGCTATTTAGGATTGTGCTGCAAAAAAAAAAAAAAAAAAGGAACATGTGATTTCAGGTTTTGCGTGTGCTCTCCCTCTCTGTCTCCCCCCTCCCCCATGCTCCTGGCCACCCGAGATCGCTGCATTTATTAAATGAGGGCATTTTTGATTTGGTCTAATCTGGTTTAATTGGAGTTATTTTGCATTGGCAGAGAGGCTCTTCTCAAGATTTTCCCTAAAAAACCCCTGTCTTGAAAAACCAAAACCAAAACAAACAAACAAAAACAAAACAGACAAGCAGAAAACCAAAAAACAAAAATGGTGGATGTCTCAGTGATTGGCCATTCTTCCAAAGGACCAGGGTTCAATTTCCAGCACCCACATGGCAGTTCACAACTGTCTGTAACTCTAGTTTCAGTGGACCTGGCGTACAGACATACAAGCAGGCAAAACCCCAATGTACCTAAAATATATAAATAAATTTCTTTAAAAGTTCAGTAAAAAGAATTTTTTCAAACCAAGAAAAAAAAAGCAAAACGAAACAAAACAAAAACCAACGAAACCAAACCAACCCCCCCCACCCCCCCCCCCCCCCCCCCCCCCCCCCCCCCCCCCCCCCCCCCCCCAAATCACATTGTAGCTACATTGGGTAGAGTGCTTGCCTGGCGCACATAAAATTCTGGGTTTAATCCCCAGTACCAGATCAGGAATTGAAGACCATCATCTGCTACATATTGAGTTTGAGGTTAGCCTAGACTACATAAAACTCTGTCTCATGAAAGAAAGTTCTTACTTACTAACCCGGAGCCTGAGATGTTGCAAGCTCCTGGAGTAGCTCAAGGCTGTAGCAGGTGACAGAGCGGAGAAGGCCTGACTTTGGTTCCCGCCTCCTTGCCCCACCAGCTGCCAGGGAAATCAAGGAGCCCACACTTGAAGCTCCCACCACCGGCCATAGTCCCAGGATGAAGTGCGCCTGTGCGGGTTGCAGACAGGAACTACGATTCCCAGAATTCATTGAGTCGAAGCCCAAGGTCCAAGGTCTAAGCTCTCCTACCTGAGTGTACAGGACTCTATAATGACAACAAGCTGGACTGAAAGCTTCGACCAATGGAAAACTGGTGTTGATACACACTTTTTCAGGCCTTTACAAAAACTGCTTGGGATAACGGACTCCAAGGTCACAGACACTGGCGCAAGAGCAGAGGCTTTGGATAACGCAATTTTCTGCGCCAAGAGGACGCTAACTATGTGAACTCTCTACCTCCCTCAATTCCTTTTGCCTGCTTTTTCTTCTCTCCTTCCACGTCTGCCTCCCTCCCATCTTTTTTTTCCTTTTGTATGTCCGTCTTCCTTTTTTCATTTTTATTTCTTTAAAATTATTTTATTCTTTCTGCTGCTTAGTTCTTTTCTCCACGTATACAGTTCAGAATCTCATTAAGGGGATGGCGCCAGCCACAGTGGGCAATCCTTCACACCTCAATTTATGGACTCAAAATAACACCCGTCGTATGCAGGCCCAGAGGCCTATCTTCCATGTGATTCTAGATTCTGTCAAGTTGACAACACTAACCATCACACCCTGTCTTAAAAAAAAAAAAGACACTCCCCCTCTCCCCACCAAAAACCAAGCTGGGGATGCACCTCAGGGTGGACCGCCTACCTAGCAAACTAGACAGGGTGTCCAATGCCCAGTACCTCTTGGAGCACCTATTGAACCAAAGGTCCGAGTGTCCACATGGAATGGGCAGACACTAAGGATTGTCATTGATTTTATTAAATGTATTTTCCTTTTACAAACAGCAAAGCCCCTGGCCTACTTCAGCAGGAGTTTTCGGTTTTGTCTGTAAGTACAAGCCCTGGACAGACAGAAGGAAAAGGAGGAGGTTAAAATGGGCCGGGTGGATACGCCTGTGATCATGGCACTTGGGAGGCTGAGACAAGGGGACTGTCCTGAGAACTAGGCTAACCTTGGGCACAGTGAGATCATATCTCAAAAAACCTAAAACCTGAGGATGCGAGTTGGCCCAGAAGGTAAAGCAAGCTGCCAATAAGTCTGCCAATCTGAATTTGATCCCCAGGGCCCAGATGACTGACAACGAGAACAGATTCTAGAGTTGTCCTCTGATTTCCACGTGCCTATCCTGGCATGCATGTGTGTACGCGACAGACAGACAGACAGACACACACACACAACGATAGGTAGGTAGATATAGACAACTAGATGGCAGGATGGAACTGAAACACACACACCAGGGGTTCAACCAGAATCATTGCTAGTTTCTGGTCAGGACTGGGAGAATGTGGAATCACGGGAAGCAGGAGTAAGGATGGACAGGATGGACAGAAGGAGACATAACAAAAGGACAGATCAGAGTACCATGGTTCAACAGCATCCAGCCAAGCTGTCTCCCACTTCTCAATACCCAGCTCTCGCCCAAGTGGCCTCATTTGGGAAACAGTCTTTACAGGCGTAATTAAGACAAGCTGACATCATCCCGAGTTTAAGCTGGGGCTGTATCCAAACACTGGTATCATTGCATGAGAAAGGTAACGCCTCACTGTGTTTCAGGGAGAAAATAAAAAGCCCACCTGATGGATGGAAGCTTAGATGTCACTGGCTGGGCCCAAATGACATGAGGCTAGAGATGGGACTCGGTGGGCAAAGGGTTTGAGCACTGAAAGCCCGCAGTCCACTTCCAGCGCCAACTCAGCGAGGCATGGTAGTAACCTAGACGGTTGAGGCAGGTCATTCTCAGTGATTTTAAGGCTAGCCTGGGCTACATGAGACCCTGCCCCCAAGATCCAAATAGAACAAAACAGAGAGTAAGATGAAAGCCTGGCGTCCTTTGGTTTTCATTCATCTCCACTGCACATAGGGCTAATCTCAGGGATTATCTCACTAGAACCTGCTCATACCCTGTCTCTCCACTTACACACTGGAGACACAAGGGCTGGGAAGATGGTTCAGCGGTCAAGAGCACTGACTGCTCTTCCAGAGGACCTGAGTTCGATTCCCAGCACCCACCTGGCAGTTCACAAATTGAAGACACAAATCTACTGTCAGGTGTTTAGTATCCCATCCCAGCCCACGCCAGAGGTCTCTCCAGTCAAACAGGAATGCGGCAGGGAGGCGGCTCAGCGTTCACTTCTCTTCCAGGGGACACGGGTTTGGTTCCCTCCACCTATATGATGGCTCACAACCATTTGTAATTCCAGTCCCGGAAGATCCAGTCACCTCTTCTGGTCTCTGAGGGCACTAGGCAGGCTCCTGGTGCACATCTCTGTATACATCAAAATCAAAGTCAAAATATCAGCCCAAAGCCAGGTAGTGATGGTGCACACCTTTAATCCCGGCACTCGGGAGGCAGACGCAGGTGCATCTCTGTGAGTTTGAGGCCAGCCTGGTCTACAGAGTGAGTTCCAGGACAGCCAGGGCAGTTACACAGAGAAACCCTGCCTCCAAAATTTGGGGGAAAAATATTCGTTCCTGGATGAGCACCCTGAGCCGCGGTGATCTCGCGGGACCCACACTGAGCCACGGTGATCTCGCGGGAAAGGCTGTTCTCGCAAGCACGTGGACATCTTCACATCACCGTGTAGAAGCAGGCCTGAGATTAACTACCACACCCTGACAGGACTGCTCACCTTCGTGGTGCCCACCACTACTCCAGGTCCTCTGCTGTTTGAATGCAAATCTCTAGTCACCAAATGCGGCTGTGATACTTTAATTTCATTTTCCCAGCATGGCCTGGAGGGACTTCTGTTCGCTTCCCTTCGAGGGAAGTGGTTAACCCAGTCATTTGGAATCTGCTGGCCGTCAGAAGCAAAGCTTGGCTGGAAGACACAAGCTCAGGAATGTCCAGGGTTGGCAGCTGCTAAAGGCAGCTGAGAGACAGGCGTGGACTAAGCAATCCACACCTGCCAACTCATGACACAGGGCGTCTGGCCTGCACATTCAAACCGTTACATGTTTTACATTTATTTACTCATTTATTTTTTCTGTGTGTTTGATTTGGCTGCTATGGCATGCATGTGGAAGTCAGAGGACATGTGGGAGCCAACCTGGGTTATCAGGCAATTGGCTTTATCCACTGAGCCATCTGGACAGCCCCAGATAATGACTTCAAGTTGAAGGAACTGAACATAGGCCTCAGACATGCTGCTCAAATATTCTACCACTGAGCCACACCCAGCCCCTCACTGGGGAATTCTAGGCAGATGCTCTACCTCTGAGCCACACCTCAGCCCCACACTGGGGGATTCTAGGCAGGGCTCTACCTCTGAGTCACACTCCCCAGCACTGCAAAGAATAAATATCTGTAGCTCTAGGCAATCTCATAGATAGAGGTGCCCTCCTGTGTTCCCTGGCTATGTAGCATGAGCTGTTAAATTTCATTTATGCCAGACTAATACTTGTCATCCTAGCACTAAGAAGTCTGAGGCAGAAGATGAGTTCCAAGTTAGTCTGGGGTACTTAAGATCCTGTCTCAAAATATTACCAGCTGGGCATGGTGACACACGGCTTTATTCCCAGCACTGGAGAGAGGCAGGTGGATCTCTGTGAGTTGGAGGCCAGTCTGGTCTACCGAGCAAACTCCAGGGCAGCCTCATTTACATAGTGAGATATAGTCTTAAAAAGTTTAACAGATGGGTACTTTAGTGACAGTGCTGATGAAGAATATTTGGTCACAATCCAGCTGGGACAAACTGGCTTTGAGTAATACATTCACTTTTTTTAAAAAATTTTTTCAGACAAAGTCTCACTATGTATCTCTGGCTGGTCTGGAACTCTGTAGACCAGGCTGGCAAACTCACAGAGATCCTCCTGCCTCTGCCTCCCGCATGCTGGGACTAAAGGTGTGCACCACCACTGCCCAGCTCCATCCTCCTTTTAATGGAAGAAGGGACTCATAAAGAGAGGAAATAAAACTGGAGAACTTCAGTCGCTTGTGACTTAGGGGTGAGGAATATAGAAAATGAGGGGCACAGGGAGAAATGTGGGAAGAGAGAGAAAATACGGGAACGAGAGGGACAGAAGAGCTGAAGGTTCAGGGGTTCAGAGTACTTACTGCTCTTACAGAGAACCCAAGTTTGGTTCTCAGTGCCTACACGGTAGCTCATGACTACCTCAACTCTAGCTAACAGGAATCCTATGACACCCTCTGGTCTCCATGGACTCCCCATACATACATACATACAAATATATGCATAATTAAAAATAATATCTCGGTGGTAGTAGTGATGCATGCCTTTAATCCTGGCACTCAGGAGGCAGAGGCAGGTGGACCTGTTCTACAAAGTCAGTCTCAGGCTAGCTAGGGCTACACAGAGAAACCCCGTCTTGACAAACCAGTAAGAAAAAAAATTCTTAAAAAAGAGGGTGAGAGAGGAGGAAAGAGAAGAAAAAAAGTGGGTGGGTGGTGTGCAAAGTCCTTTTGTGTGTGTGTTGCTTTTATTGGTTAATAAATAAAGAAGTTGCTTGGGCCTATGACAGCGCAGAATAGAGCAAGGTGGGAATTCCAAGCAGAGACAGAGGAAAAAGAAGGCGGAGTCAGGGAGACACCATGTGGCTGCTGAAAGAGACAGACACTGGACAGAAACTTGCAGGTATGTCACAGCCACGTGGTGATACACAGCTTAAATGAAATGGGTTAATTTGGCTGGGCGGTGGTGGCACACACCTTTAATCCCAGCACTCGGGAGACAAAGGCAGGTGGATCTCTGTGAGTTTGAGGCCAGCCTGGTCTACAAGAGCTAGTTCCAGGATAGGCTCCAAAAGCTACAGAGAAACCCTGTCTTGAAAAACAAAAAAAGAAATGGGTTAATTTAATATGTAAGAATTAGTTAATAAGAAGCTTAATTAGTTAATAAGCCAAACAGTGCTATTAATTTCTATATGTTAATATAATTAACATTATAATAATATAATAATTATAATAGTAACATTACTATAATAATATTAATAACTATATGTTAATATAGTTTCTGTGTTATTATTCGAGTCTGGGCAGCCAGGAAACGAATGAGCAGTCTTCGCCTTCAGGAGGGGTACTGAAGGATATAGTGATGGGAGGTGGACCAAAGAAAGACCCCTTTATGCATCCAGTTTTTCTTTCTTTCTTCCATACTCCCCTACCCCATTTCTCTTTTCCTTTTTTGAGACAGGATATCATGTAGCCCAGGCTGGCCTCAAACTCAACTGTTTGGCCAAGGATGAACTTCTAATCCTCCTTCCTCCACCTCCCAAGTGTGGTGATGACAAGATTGTGACATTATACCTGATTTATCTAGTACTGGGGATCAAACCCATGCCTTTGATCATACCAGGCAATTACCAACTGAGCCACATCCCCACCTCTCCCCACACTCTGAGATAGCATCTTGTTGTGTTGTTCAGATTGGCTTTGAACTTATAGCCATCCTCCCACTTCAAGCCTCCCATGTGCTGAGGTCAGAGTAGAGGACCACCACACTTGGGTGGTGTCCATGTTTGAGGGACTTAGAGGGTTAGGGGTGACTTACGCGATCAGGATGACCACGAAGGCTAGGATAGCCAGTCCTATGGCCACCAAGTTGCCCACCAACACCATGTTCCTCAGCTTGCTGTCAGACTGGAACTTGAGAGCCATGCGGGGCTGCCCATCCACTGGGCAGTTGGAAGTAGAACTCAGTGCCAACCTGACACCTTCTGTAACCTCCTCCACCCCACCTGTTCACCTGGTTCACCACCCAGTGCTCTGAAGTACCATTCACCATGGCAAACACTATGGCCCAGCCTGGCCCAGCCGAAATCCACTTCTTGTTGGATATGGGAAGGAGGCAAGAAGCTGGATCCAAACCCAAGAAAAGAACTGGGTGAGGTGGCTCACAACTGTCATCTAAACACTTGGGACACTGAGACAGGAGGTCTACTCTAAGCCGAGGACAGTCTGTGCTATAGTGAAACCTTATCTCTTAAAAAGGAGGAAAGAAAAGAAAAGAGAGAGAGAGAGAGAGAGAGAGAGAGAGAGAGAGAGAGAGAGAGAGAGGTCCTTCTCCAGGACCATGGCCCACCATGATGATAAGGGACTAAACCTCTGAAATAAAAGTTAGCCTCAATTAAATGCTTTCTTAAATTAAGAGTTGCCACAGTCATGGTGTCTCTTCATATCAATAGAACGCTAACAGAAGTTGGTAGCAGGGAGTGGGATATTGCTGTGACAGGCCTGACCATATAGTTTGTTGGTGGAATGTGGACCTTGGGACTTTTGGATTAAGAAAGCAGTTGACTGCTTTAAGTGGGTTTAATGGGCTATACTAGTAGGAGTTTGGAAGATGGTGGTGCTGAGAGATTATGACAGCCTGGCTCAAGAGGTTTCAGAGGAAAATATTAAGAAGTGGCCTAGACACTCTTCTTGTGATATTTTGGCAAAGAATGTGGCTACTGTCTGCCCTAGTCCAAAAAAATCTGCCTGAGGTTAAATTGAAGAGTTCTGAGCTAATGGTGTTGGTGAAGGAGACTTCAAGACAGCCTAGAATTAGCCGGTCACAGTGACCACACTTATGCAGACCTACAGTGAAAAGGAAGTAGCTGAGCAAGGGAAAATATGGAAAGTGCAGCTTGAGGAGAAAAGAAGCATCAGGAAGTGGAATGGAGCTGTGCACAGTGCTCAAGGAGATTAAAAGGTTAAAGAAAAGCCTGATGCAAAATGGAATGCAATGGCCTAAATGATGACAATGGACTAAACTTCTGAAGCTATAAACAAGTCCCAATTCAATGCTTTCTGTTATAGGGGCTGCTGTGGTCATGGTGTCTCTTCACAGCAACAGAACAGGGTATATGTAGGGAGATGGCTCAGTGGGTAGGAGCACCGGCTGCTCTTTGGGGGAAGGCTTGATTCCCAGCACCCACATAGTGGTTTACAATTGTCTGTAGCGCTTAAAAATAATCTTTAAACTAGAATAAAATCAACATAATAATAATAGCATAAAACAATGGATAAAACAGAGGTAGAGGGGTGTAGATGCAGTTGGATGGAAAGTGATATTTTTGGAGGTATCACTGAGGAGCCCCCCTGAAGCCATGGCTTTGAGACCTAGATGGAGGGAGGGGAACAGTAAGAGTAGGAAGAGCCGGTACAATGTCCAGGAGGGTGGACACTGCGCTCTCTGCTGTGTGGCTGCATGTGTCTGTGAGAACAATGGATCCAGTCAATCTTTCTATGCTTTCCATGTCTGAGGATATCTGTTATAGAATGGTAGTTAAAGATGTGTTACATTTGTTTATGCTGTGCAACATTTGTTTAATGATGCAAATGATTTGATTAACGATGCAAATGATTTGTTTAGTGATTTGTGGTGTGCCAGAGATCAATGTCAAGTATCTTCTTCAATTCCTCTCCGCTCTGATTTTGATGTAGGGTCTCTCACTGAACCTAGTACTTGCAAATTCACCCAGGCAGGTCAGTGAGTTTCAGGAATTTACTCATCTCTTCAACCCTACCCCGGGCTGGGTTTGCAGACTGGAGCAGTAGTAGCTCAGGCTGGCCTTGAACTCCAGATCCTCCTGCCTCAACCTCCCAAGTGCTGACGGGGAGCCTTGAAATCCACCTCCACAAGGCCAAGGACTTGAGGTCCCCGATCGCCTCTCACACAGCACCCCTGCCTTTTCCAGACCCGCAGCTTACCATAGCAGTACTTCTCCTTGATGCATCTGGGGGCAATTTTCTTGCAGTAGAAACAATCCATGACCTCCTCCTTGAGCAAGTCTGAGCAGGAGAAAAGGAGACATGGAGAAAAGCAGACCCCAAGAGCAGGGAGGGAACAAGGCAGAAAGGAGATGGGGTCCTCGAGCCACTGAAGGTTGGAAGTCACTGCCCAGCACAGCAGATGATTTATGTGACAAATGATTTTTTTCTTCCTTTTTTTAAATTTTTTTGAGGCAGTTTTTCTCTGTGTGGCCCTGGTTGTCCTGGAACTCACTCTGTAGACCAGGCAGGTCTTAAACTCAGAGATCTGCCTGCCTCTACCTCTTGAGTGAAGGATTAGAGGTGTACGCCACCACTCCCAGCTCCAGAAATGATTTTTCTGTCATCAAAGAGTTAAATGGAATCTCCATAGTCCATGTGGCTCAATGCTCTGGTTCTGATCATAGATAAACTGGGGGTGGTGCTAAGCACTGAATTCCAGGTGTTGAGTATTAGGCAGGGCCTCTACCACTGAGCCACACTTCAGTCCCTCACTGGGGAATTCTAGGTAGAGGCTCCATCACTGAGCCACACCCCAGCCCTTCAGTGGGGGATTCTAGGTAGAGGCTCCACCACTGGTCTACACCACAAAGTCCACTTTTTTTTTTTAAAAAAAAAAATCCTGAGACAGCATCTTGCTAAGTTACTCACATTAGACTTGAACTTAAAATTCTCTTGCCTCAGCCTAGCAGATCTGGGCCAGCCGCCTGTTTCTTCCCATTTGTAGGCACTTAACCAAGCGTTCTTGTTGTTGCTGTCATTTCCCATCTTACGTTGTGTGCATGCATGGAGCTCAGAAAACAACTCTTGTGAATCTGTGCTTCCATCGCGTGGGGTCTGAGGACTGAACTCGAGCGTGGTGGCAAGCACCTTTACCTCCTAAGCCATTTTGTCGGCCTCAACAGTTACTGATTTTTGCACCTGCTACTTTCCATCTGGCAAAGGTGGGCATGGTGCCAGTTCACCCGGCTCCTCCTCTTCTTGTGCAAGCGGGAAGACATTTCCCAGGATCCTTTGTGGGGAGTTGCACCCATATGCGCTATACTGAATCAAAGGAAAATGAACTACGGTGGGTCATGCTAGGCACAAAACTTCCTGTGTGCTTCCCTAGTTCCCGAGGCCAGTGTAGGCCATCAGCATGGGGGCAGTAAAAGTTTGAAGAGCTATAGGACTCCCTGCGGGATGTAACCCATGCAACCCTGAGAGCTACAGGACTCCCCGCCGGATGTGCCTGGGAGAGCATTTATTATGTTGAGCCATTGAGATGTGGAATTTGTCAATGCCACATGCCCTATGGCACCACAGCTGCAGGTGCCAGTGAGATGGGACAGCTGGAAAAGGTGCTGGTTGCCAAGATTGGTGACCTGAGTTCAATCCTAGAGACCCCTAGGGAAGCTTTCTTCTGACCTCCACATGTGTGCTATGCATACACACACCCTAATAAAATGTAAAAACAAACAAAAAAGCAAGTCTTGAGGTTAACGTGGTGACTCTTGAAATACCAGCACTGCTGAGGTTGAGGCAGGAGGACTGTCATGAGTTCTAGGTCAGCATGGGTTATAGAGTGAGAACTGGAGGAGGGAGGAATAGGAGGAGGAGAAGAAATAATGGGGGAGGGGAGACAGAAAAAGCCCAGTGGATAAGATGCTTAGAACAGAAAAGTCAAACATGGTGGGTACTGCTTCTAATTTCAGCTCTGAGGAGACAGAGGCAGGGGATCCTAAAAGCACTGGATAACCAACCTCCTCAGCGAGTTTTGTGACTCACAAACCAAGGTGGGGGCCGAAGAGGGCTCAGAAGTTAAAGCATTTCCTAATCTTGCACAAGACCCAAGCTCAGGTCCTAGCACCTACAGGGTGGCTCCCAGGCATCTGCAGCTCCAGTTCCAGGGGACCTGACACCCCCATTTGGGCTCCATGGGCACTGCATGGGCTGAACATCCCTTCATGAAAACACATGCAAATTTTAAAAAAAATAACTAAAATAACACGGTAGATGGTTACTGGGGCATGACACTCAAGGTGTCAGGATACCTCTGGCTTCCAAAGGCGTGCATGCATGTGCACATGCTTGCACACATGACGTGTGGCGTCAGGGTTTGATTTGAGAGGAATGGGGAATAGGTGTGGGAGGGGGAACAGGAAAAGCAGGACTCACGACAAACTTTGTGGTCGCAGGCTGAAAGAGAAAAGAGCTGGTGTGAGTGGCATGGAGACATGGGGGTGGCTTCCGAAGGGAGGAAGAGAGGGAAGGGGCAGATCTGGAGAAGGAGAGGAAGGAATACTGGCGTGACGGGGATGCTGGGAGTCACAGGGGAGGACTTTGGGAGGGTAGGGACTGTGTTAGGGAGGCTGGGGAGACACCTTTTACTTCATAGGCTTTTAACGCTTTCTTTAGTTCCTTGATGGCATGTTCCCTGAGGCTCACCAGCTCTTCCAGCAGAGGACCATCTGAGGAGGGAACAGGGGCTCATCAATGCCGAGCTCCACTTGAACCACTTGCAGAATGACTAACCTGGGCTGCAGAGACAGCTCAGGGATTAAGAGCACTGGCTGCTCTTACAAAGGACCTATGGCTCAGTTCCCAGTACCCACATGGTGATTCCCAACCATCTCTAACTGCAGTCTCAGGGGGATCTGGTGCCCTCTTCTGACCCCCACAGGTACTTACACACATGGCACAAAATACACGCAGGCAAAAACATCCATACACGTTAAATTTTAAAAAAGAAAGAAAGAAAACCGCCCCAGATTTTAGAGATTTTCATTTTGGTTCTTTGCAAAAATTAACGGGTTTAATGTCACAAAGAATCTGAACTCTGCCAGGCTCCTAATTGTTTGGGAATGAAAATATGTGTGCGGACTGTGTGTGACTGAAAAACCGGCTGGTCCTGGCGACTCCGGGCGCGTGGAGAGAGCTGCACGGCTGGCCTTGAACTCACTCTAACTGGGGCAGAATTCTAAGTCACGGTCCTCCTGCCTGAGCTTCCTGAGTCGCTAGGATGACAGGCTCGGGGTAGACTGGTGGAAAGGTTACCCCAGATGTTAGAGTACTTGGAAAGCAGCTGTAGAGAGAAAGGCCGAGGGGTAGAGAGGTTTGGTCTGACCTTAGGTGGAACTATGTTTATTGACTGTGAGAGCGCAGACGGCCCGAATGCCTACAAGGAAGATGGGACTTTTATGCGGCAGAAATGATTTTCGTAGTCTGCAAAAGAAGCTGGAAATTGTAGTCTTTCAACAGGAAACTCTCGACAGACTCTCCATTTATAAAAACCGTAGTGTCTGAGAAGCACAAGAAAACAGTGTGTGGCCGATCACGCCTTGTGATGGGCATCGTGGAGATAGGAGTGTCCTGCATACGTCTTCCACTCGTGGGACTCTGGTCACCTGGCCTCTCTGAGCCTCAGCTTTTCTCCCTCTCCGAAATGGGAATCTCAAACATCTGCCTCACAGTAAAGGTCACAGGCTTTTGTTAGCTACCCAGAGGAGACGTGTAGGAGTGCGGAAAGGGAGCCCAGGAGGTGGCTGAAGGGTCTCCTACCTGTCAGAGAGTTGGCCTTTATGTACTGGGTCTGGTTCGTGAAGGAGGTCGCCACGTTCTCCAGGTTATCCACACCTGCAGACCAGAAGGGAGGCTGCGTCACATCAGGAGGTCCACCCCTGCCCCAGCCTCTCCCCCACGCACCCAAGTACACACCCACTTTCCCCACGAATGCGTTCGTGGCGTAGTCCCTGAAGAAAGACCCCTCCATGCCCAGCAGCAGAGCCTGCGCGCGCGCCTGCAGCTCTTCCAGGTGGAAGCGCTTGGGAATGATGGCCGCGTGCAGCTGGCTGAGCGCACCTTGCACCAACTGGTCGCATTGCAGGCAGCCCCAGCCCCCTGGACCGCTCAAGCTGCACAGAAGCGCCAGGGCCAAGGCCAGAGGCATGGTGGGGGCTTTGTGACATCACAGGGGAGGTCCCAGAATGCTCTCAAGATGTATCCAGAACTCTGGAATTCAGTCACTTAACACACTTTTTGAGCATCTGCTGGATGCTGCTGCAAGTCCCCAAGAGCCTGAGAAAGACGGAAGCATCCAGTCCTCCTGTCATTCACTAATTTAACAGATTTTCTTTCCTTCTTTTTTCTTCACTTTTCTTTCTTTATCCTCCTTCTCTCTTAAAATTATTTAAAATTTTGAGGCCAGGTGTGGTGGTGCACACCTTTAATCCCACCACTAAGAAGGCAGAGGCAGGCGGATCTCCGTGAGTTCTAGGTGAGCCTGGTCTACATAGTGAATTCTAGGACAGCCATGACTACATAGTGAGACCTTGTCGTGTGTGTGTGTGTGTGTGTGTGTGTGTGTGTGTGTGTGTGTGCACGTGTGTGTATGTATATATATTTGGGGATGTCACGTAAGCATGCAATGTATTTTGATCATATTCATCCCCGACCCCCAGTCCTCCCAGGCCTACCCTCACCCTGCTTCTCCTTTTCTTCCTTTCTCCAGTCTTCCCCATCTTTCTCTCCATTTCTCTTCTAAGATGTTTTACTCTTCTGACTTTTTTGGCTTTTTGGGGGGCAGCCATACAGCTCCCAAAAAACCATACACGGAGGCTTATTAGATATGATCCCCAGCCTTGGCTTGTTTTTGGCCAGTTCTTCTTAAATTATCCCATCTGACCTTTGCCTCTGGGCTTTTTCCTTTTCTTACTTCTGTATATCTTAGTTTCACTCTTACTCTGTGGCTGGCTGCTGGTGTAGGAGGTCCTTCTGTATTTGTGTTGATTTCATTGGTTGAAAAAAGAAGCTGCCTTGGCCTTTTCATAGGGCAGCCCTTAGGCGGGCGGAGTAGCAGAACAGAATGCTGGGAAAAAGGGAAGTGTGGCGGATGCCATGATTCTCCTGCTCAAGACGGACGCTGATTAGACTCATGATGGAGGGAGGAAGGTCATTGGTTAATAAAGAAACTGCTTTGGCCCATTTGATAGGCCAACCCTTAGGTGGGTGGAGTAGACAGAATAGAATGCTGGGAAGAAAGGAAGTGAGCTCAGCCGCCATAGCTCTCCTCTCTGAGGCAGACACAATGAAGCCAGGTCAGATATGCTGAATCTTTCCCAGTAAGACTGGTGCTACACAGATTACTAAATATGGGTTAGGCAAGATGTAAGAATTAGCCATTAAGAGGCTAGAACTAATGGGCCAAGCAGTGTTTAAATGAATACAGTTTGTGTGTTGTTATTTTGGGAATAAAGCTAACCATGCAGGAGCCAGGTGGGAAGAAAAGCAGGCCTGCCTGCAGCTCCTTCTACAGACTCATATCGGTAAGCCATAGTCAAGTGGCGATACACCTTAATAGAAATGGGTTAATCAAGATGTGAGAGTTAGCCAGTAAGAGGCTAGAGCTAATGGGCCAGACAGTAATCTAATTAATACAATTTCCATGTGGTTATTTCAGGGGTTAAGCTAGCCAGGTGGGATGGAACAAGGGGGTCCCATGTTACAACTTCTACTGCTGCGTAGCTGGAGGGCTGCCCCTGATACCCCTCTCTCCTTGCTCTCTTGATCCTCCTGTGCTCATTTCTCCTTCTAGTTACAGTCTCTGCCTGCCAGCCACGCCTATTCCTGCTCCTGCCTTGCTATTGGCCATTCAGCTCTTTATTAGACCAGCAGATCTTTTAGACAGGCAAAGAATCACAACTTCACAGAGTTCAACAATTGCAGCATAAACAAAAGTCACACACCGTAAAATAATATTCTACAAGTGTGTCATGTAGCCCACGCTGGTTTTGAACTCTATATTTTTCTGAGAATGACTTTGACTTCCCAGTCCTCCTGCCCCAGCCTCCTGAAATCATGAATTACAGGAGTGTATCACTCTCATGGCTCCCTTACCTAATTGTAACTGAACTTTTAAAAGTTGAAGGGGCCAGTGAGGTGGCTCAGTGGGTCCTCAAGCCTGAGGACCTGGGTTTAATCTCCAGGTCACATGGTGGAAGGCCAGAACTGACTCTCTAAAAGTTGCCCTCTGACCTAACATTCACCGTGACATGTGCCCCTCCCCCAATACACATGTAATTAAAAATGTTTAACACTGAGCTTCAGGGTTGAAGAGATAATGATTCAGGGAAGTGTAAATTTAGTTAATCTTACTAATAAAAGCCAGGAGTCAGATATCAGGGTAAAAACCTGAAGGATTAGAGAAACAATGGGGCAGCCACCAGTGACTTCCCACCTCTTCTGTTCCTCTCTCCAAAAGGCCTAGAGCCTCTCTCTGCCCCGCCCTAGCACTTCCTGTCTCCTCTCTGGACAGACCTCCAGGCCTCTATGGTAGCTAGTAGCTTGCTCTGACTCCCAGCAAGCTCTATTTGTCAGAACAGAAACAAAGTATCACACAGCATTTCCCCTTTTTTGTCTAAATAAAAAGCGAAGGTTTTAACTAACATAGTAAAACTAGATACAATTAGTACAATAACTATATACAAATATATGCAGGCAACAATTACATTAACAATGTCTAGTTCATTATCATTTTACAAAGTAAGAGAAAATACTCCATTATATATCCTATCTTGGTGAGTCTTATATGACTTCATACATGGTATAAGTAAAAAGGCTACTGAAACCCTGGATGGTTAGGTTGTCTACCATATTGCTCTTTTAAATTATAAATTTATAATTAATATTTTCAGTATTAAATCTTACCTTTGGTTTAGTTAGCTGGAGTAGGTGCAATAACCATTACCTGCCAGTAGGTGTCATGGTGCAGTTGGAGCCGCGTGGCTGGACCGAATCTGATTTTAGAGTTCAATGCCAAAAGATATGCTCAGATTAAAAACAATTATTTGTATAAATCACAGACTGTGTGCTCCATGGTAGTCCCTGGTTAGTCAGCAGTTGTGAGCAGTAGAATAGCAAATGCAGACAAATTTTTAGAAGCCGCAGAACAGCTGGCTCAGACCAGGGAAGCCCACGTCTCTCCTGAATTTCTGCAGCGTGGAAAAACTGGACGCAGAGTGGCTCCGAGTCCTCAGGCACCCTGGTCCCCCCCCCCCCCCGCAACTGTACAGCTCTGAGGTGTTTAATGGGGGAAATATAAAGAACCGCCATTCTGCAGGGCTGCTGCACAAGAATTCTGTGCCCAAATGAACGACTAGCTATGCGCACAAGCCGTGGCTAAGGTGGGCTGAGAGAGGCAGCATGGGCCGAACATGCGCACCCCACCCAGCAGAAGCCTAAGGCCTGGAATTCTATATCCAATTGTTGGGCGCCAAGTGTTGAGATGACCAGGCTAGCTAAGGATAAAACAATTATATTTTATTTATTATAAGGGGAAAACTCACGAAACAGGAAATGAGAAATCCAAGCACAGCAATGTCCCGAGGCAAAAGGCGCAGAGAGAGAGTGCACCTGGAGGTGCACATGTTTTACCCTGGGTTCCAGTGAGACCCACGCCTTAACTAAGACCCACCCCTTAAAGATGATTGGCTAATAAGGTTCCCCACCATCCCAAGCCTACACACACACACACACACACACACACACACACACACACACACACACACTGTATTTAGAGGTTTATATTTTTCTTGTCTGAACCTGTCTTACTGCATATCTCTGTCTTTTGCTGATCACATGAGTCTTTAAACTGCTAAGCAGAATGTCTAGAACCAACGTGGAAACTTAGGGCTCTGCCCCATTCCTTAGTTCTAAGAGCCTAGCTGATGTGGGAGTGTCATACATCAGTCTGTTGATTTCATTGGTTAAGCAATAAAGAAACTCCTTGGCCCTGATAGGTTAAAACATAGGTGGGAGGAGTAAACAGAATAGGATGCTGGGAGGAAGAGGAAGTAAGGTCAGACTCTGCTCTGCTCCCAGAGAGACTTGACAGCTCTGCTCTCTGGAGCAGAGATGCCAGGCTCCGCTCTTCCAGGCAGCTCCGACCCAGGATGGATGGAGGCTAGAATCTTCCCAGTAAGCACACCTTGGGGTGCTTACACACATTACTAGAAATGGGCTAGTCCAGGTGCGAGAGTTGGCCGAGAAGAGGCTAGATAGAAATGGGCCAAGCAGTGTTTAAATGAATACAGTTTGTGTGTTGTTATTTCGGGCATAAGCTAGCAGGTGGCCAGGGTGCTGGGGATGCAGCCCCACCACACCTTATTTCAACACCTAGCTTCATGGTGGAGGTGCCAGTGAGCCAAGGTTATTGTCACAACTCTGGGAAGTTTCTGGGTCCACATTGACACCAAGTAGTGCATCATCCATTGCTTATGAACCCCATTTAAGTATTTGGTAGTGGGGCCTCTAAAAAGCCTCACAGTTTTTGCTGCTAAGGTTGAGTGGGGAAGTGATCTCTTAAAGGAGCCAGGCTTCTGCTCACCGCCAGCAAACAGAACCCACTGTAGAAAAAGTGGTTACCAAGAAGCTGCTTTTAACACTGCTTTTGTGTGTTCAGATTTTTTTTTTGAGCTCTCTCAGGTTTTATGTGGAGCTTCTTGCTCCATGTTGAGTGCCATCAAGTTAATTTCATCAGTAAAACCTAGGAGCTTCCGGGCAGCCCATAGATGAATAGAAATGGGTTTGTCCCAGGCAGCGTAGTGTGGTTGTGTGGGTTCATGTGGGTGAGTGAAATGAAGACTCAGAGACACCCTGAGAATGAACTCAGCCTTTCACCCGCGGGAGACTCAGCCTTTGTGGACTGAAGCTCTTTCCCGTTGTCTCTTGGCATTTTATTTTTTTCTCTTTACACTTTACCTAGTAGATTTCCATATTTCTAAGCAAACTGAATGAAGCTTCCAAAAACGCAATGCCAAGTACAAATATCTGATTCATGAGGTACCACAGTTTTCTGGGTTCCCTTTTAACCAAGTTTTGCATTGGCTTTGTTACCATAGGAAACTCTCAGACAAGATTCACAAAAGGTATCTGTAACAAAAAAGGATAGAT